TCCCTACGAGCCACGCCGATCGGCACTTAGCCATAATTCCTTCATTTTTCTCACGATAATACCGCCGGCGGATACCCCTCGACTTCGAAACTAACGGTTAGGGTTACCGCCTACTAAAAAGTTTCTTCACGTTTCAACGCCAAAACTTGTGCCAACAAGACAGTTGAAATCGAACAAATGTCATCTTGCTGATATGGAATCCGATGAATTTTTAATGTCAGTTTCTTTATTATTCAATAAATCGATCGTTATTACATGTGATGAATACTTAGTACAACAAAATAAATTATAAGGAATAATAATAGTAATAATAATTATAATATCATTTCAAAGTTTTCCCCACATTACTTTCTTATTCATATTGGCAACGCAATGCATAGTTTAACCCTAAATCATATTTTAAATTAATCATATACTATTAAGTCTCAATAAATTATGCGAAATTTTTAAAATTATGCAAAAATGATAAACACTCTTGTTTCTAAATTATGCGGAAAGATTGCGAATTAAATAAAACAGAAAAAAAAATTTAAAAAATCATTTTAAAAAAATTCTTTCCTGTTTTTCTATTATTAAAGATTCTAACTACATTACCTTATTTACACCACAGCAATTATTAAAATGAAATATATTAAAGTGAAGTGAAGACAGTCCAGTAGTTGAATATTCCTTCAAGCCTTGTCTTAGTTAAATTGTGCTGTAACAGTACACAACTCTTCCACAGACTACTGAATTAAGCAACACAGAGAAATTGAACAAAGGAAAAAAATCAGTAAAGACAAGTTAATGTGGTAAATAAAGACAATTTGCCACGAAAAAAAAAACTTTTTTTCAACTAGGAATTCAGTAATTTTGCGGACTAACATAAATTATATGATTTATCCATCCTTGCACAATTTATGTCCTGCGTATTATTATTTATCCCCACTCAAATAATCATCCTAAATCAGAATTATTTTCTGCTCAACCAATGTAACCAAAGGGTCACAAAACTATTTAACTTTTGTGTTTTTATTTTAACTCGCTGGAATTGCGAAATTAAAATTTCGACCACTTTTCAACTTAAGAACACTACTAGAGTTTCAACTGGAGCTCTGTGCCAGATAGTAGATACAAGTTCCCAATCAAGCAGAAATTTAAACCAAACCATTAAAAATTAGAGAGGTTATTAGAGAGGTTATTCTGTTCTGAAACTCATTGGTTATGACAATATAAGTGGTTATGACAACATATCAATCATTTCCTTACCACTACAAACATAATTAATAGTCATATGAGCGTTATAAGAAGTTAAAGGTCCAAAATTGAGACCACTGTTCTACTATTTAAGATTTTTTTTAAATTTCTACTAGAAATCTGGGCATTATAAAAATACGAAAAACAAGTTTCAGTTTTCTAGCCACTGCAAGCAGGATTAATAACCTTATTCTCACATAATGATATTCCTTCGAACTTTTATTTCTATAATATGAATTTTGATTATATATTTTATTTTTCCTTCGCACGAAAAATTTCAACTATAAAAATTAGGGTTTCTTCCGCGAAGACATATGCCAAGTTTTTTATTTATTTTTTTTTTCCTTTAATCATCTCCGGTCCAATGATAATTCGGTCCTCTAACACAGCGGTTCCCAAAAGGTGTTCCGCGGAACCTTAAGGTTCTGCGAAAGGATCGCAGGGGTTCCGAGAGTAAGGATATATTCAACTATTAATATTTATATCCAATCAATAATCCATAATGTATTTAATATTTGGCTAGTTTATATGATTTTAATGTAAAATACAAATGGAAAAAAAGTTTCAAAATTTAAAATATATATTTTTTTCAATAACTATATATTGATCAAAGTATTGAAAAGAATATGCCTTTATAAAAATTTTAGTAACATTTCTCATAGAGCTTTTCAATTTAAAACAAAATAACTAAGTTCAAGAATAAAAAATTGCGTTTTTCTAATAACTATTCTCATCGTAAGTTATTTTTTAAAAACCATATTTCAACTTATTTTATTCATTTTCAGAATATGCATGCACCAAGAAAAAATTCATAATATTAAATATTTCACTGAACACATTCAACAGCTTTAAAATAACATGCCTTTTTTTTGTGGTTAGTATGATCACAGCTTCTAATGAACTTTTTCTTACAATGCCGGGGGTTCAGCCAAATGAAGTTTGATCACTTAGGGTTCTATAGCCAGAAAAAAATGGGTACCGCTGTTCTAACAATCTCAGGGGTCTGTCCAGACATTTTGTGAAAGGTCCGTTTTTGTAAAATTGTGAAAAAAATTACTCGTAATTTGTGAATATAAAATAAACGTTAAGTCACATTCTTTCAACCAGGGTCCGCTTTTGTGAATTGGTACAAATAGGGTCCGTTATTACAAAAAAAATTTTTTCAAGAAGTTTTTAAATTGTAAAGACATTCAAGATTATGCTCAACACTGTAATATTATAATTAAAAAAATTACATTTTAAAAAATAAACAGCAATTGCTGCTACTAAATTAGAGATGCAACATACAAATATTTGGTATTTAGCCTATACTGCTGAACGCAGAATATTCATTTCGGACGAATAATCAGGGGTCTGTCCAGACATTTTGTGAAAGGTCCGTTTTTGTAAAATTGTGAAAAAATTACTCGTAATTTGTGAATATAAAATAAACGTTAAGTCACATTCTTTCAACCAGGGTCCGCTTTTGTGAATTTGTGCAAATAGGGTCCGTTATTGAAAAAAAAACTTTTTCAAGGAGTTTTTAAATTGTAAAGACATACAAGATTATGCTCAACACTGTAAAATTATAATTAAAAAAATTACATTTTAAAAAATAAACATCAAATACAGCTACTAAATTAGAGATGTAACATACAAATATTTGGTATTTAGCCTATACTGCTGAACGCAGAATATTCATTTCGGATTAATAAAGGAAGAAGCTTCTGTCGGAGACAAAATTTAGTTCGTTGACATCTGTCCTTCTCCCCCCCTTCCTGGGAAGGGTTTATTCGATTAACAAAACAATAATGAAGATAAACAAATTTGTGAAGGGTCCGAATAATAGATAAATTAGTTTGTTAAGGGTCCGTTTTTAAGTTAAAATATTTTGTGAAGGGTCCGTTTTTAAGAAAAGATATTTTGTGAAGGGTCCGCTTTTATGAAAAGATATTTATGAAGGGTCCGTTAACGGACCCTAATTTCTTCTAAACAGACCCCTGAATCTAATGGACTGAAATTTAAAAAAGCAAAATCTATGGCTTCCCGAACTGCTGCTGGTAATGGACGTTACTCACCGAATCTAAGGACTTGACTCACCGAATCTAAATGATTCTCATATCCACACCTATACCACTGTCCTACTGATTTTCGTTCAAAGCAACAACAAAAAAAAGTAGCAAAAATTAACACGAAAGTAATACATAGAGAAGAAAAATAAGACAATATTGCAGTAAAATATGTAACAAGCTACAATAACAACAATGCAAAGTTACAATAATAATTTTGAAAGGTGTTCTTTGTCGGCATCAAGTGCGAAAATCAGTAAACAAAAAAGTAGAACAAACACCAAATTAGATAGCTCAGCACAATAACTAAAATAAAGAGAGTCAGGATGAGATGGGAAAGCTGGAAAATATTTTATAAGTGTCATAAATTTAGACACATTGTGCAACAACTACGACACCTTTAAGCAAACGTCAACAAATGAATCAGCCAAGAGGCATTTAACAGGCATATCACAAAATATCGAGTAAGCATTTCTTAAAATGTTTATTAACTGATCTTTATATTCTATTTTAAATATTTTGCAAGTATGTTCGGAAATATACTGATAAATAGTCCGAATATTCTCTATACATTCGAAGAAAAAAACGACAAAATTATAGCAGATGTATTGATAAGTAAAACTAGCGAAAATTTTAGTGTATTGCAACTAATAATTTTTCTACGGCAAGTAATTTGGAAAGAAAAAAAGTGCACTGATTTAAAGCCAAAGCAAAAAACCGTATAAACAAAAACATGCAATACTTAATTCCAATCTTAGAATTTAATATTGAATTTCAATCTTAGATATTCTAATCTTAGAGTTTTAAGCATAGTAAATTCCCAACGATGTGTGACAATTATGTTTAACGGTTAAAACAGTTAATGCAATAACTCAAATTATTTATAAGCATGTTAAACAAAAACAAAAAAAAGCATTTTTCTTCATTTCGCAAACATTTGTAAAGAAAATCGCCCACTTGAGAGTTTCGCCCCTCCCAGAAAGGATGAATTTCCAGATTTCTCAATTCTGTGACATCATCCTGTTAAATAATTATTTATAACCAAAACATTTAAGGGAAGAAAAAAGAAAATCAACCATTTTATAATTAATTTTACGACAATAATAAATAAGGTCAATCAGGGCTATTATGAAACAAAAAATTACAGCTCATTATGACTTTTGAATGATTTAAATCAAATATTATTATATTAAAATGATTTTAAGCAACCAGAAATATGTCTCAGAAATAAATGACAAAACTGTGTCTCATATTAATGTGATACACTGTATTACTGCGTCCTAAACGCCAGAAACCGTCCTAACTGCGGTTCTTAAACTAAGGGTGAGGCTCAACAATTCTGCTCGAAGTTTTTTGTTATTATTATTTCTACAAAATTGAAGGTTCGCGCAAATAAATAGGTTGGGAACAGCTAAAATAAAGCTTTAGGACAAATTTTTTGAAGTAAAACTAAATTGTTTAGAATAAATTATTTCATTTGTTATAATTTTGGAACATCACATTTAATTACTTAAAAATGGCAATATGTCGGTGCATTTCACATAAGCCCGATCAATTTGAGAGTTTTATAATAGCCCCTGGTTGACACTATTTACTTCACACATTTTTAAGGTTTAGTGGGGGAGGGGAAAAGGAAGAACAAAATAATAAATTGGAAAGAGAGAAGAAAAAAAAAGAAGAAAAACATGCTCAAGATCATAGACTAGTGGTACTCACTAAAATTTCTGTAAGAGCCAAAATCTGGTAGAGAAGTGGTCTTATGGGCCGCACCTACAATTATTTTTTTCGTTTTGCAGTCATGTGTAATATATAATATAGTAATTCAGTACTAGTATACACTAATATGAATCAGTAATTCTTCATAATATATTTAAAGTAATTGATTATAATATTATATCAGGAGTTCCCAACCTTTTTAAACAACAACCCAAAAGACTAACGGCTTTGCGACCTAAAGATACATTCTGAAATAATTATATTATTCATTAAATACTCATTATTACTGAAATTAAACAAAAATTAGTTTTTTTTAAATGAGAAAAAATAAGGGGTTGAGTATGAGGGTTATCTATAAAATAAAACAGCGTGGGTCGTAATAAGAATGATTTGTATCCAATAATATTAGATACGAGTCAAATAATATTAAGATTAATTAACTAAATAAAACTAATAGGGTTAGTAAACTAAATAATAATGGGTTTGGTTGATAAACTAAATAATAATTAGAATAATAAACAGGGTTGATAAATAATGTAATAAAATTTATTCATATCTTTCTGATTTATTAAATGTTTAACACAAAAATAAATATAAGTTTGTTTTTTTTTAAATAGATTTTTATTATTTTTAATATTTTACTCAGATGGAACTCCTGCGACCCAATAATGGGTCGTAGAATAGGAACTCTTGTTCTATATTATAATTTATTACTAAATACACATAAACTAAATATTAACACATTGTCATCTAAGCAGTATAAAGGTTAAAAGCACAAATGTAGTAAGCAACACTACAGAAGGAATAAAAACGATGTAGATGCAAGTGTGCATCATCCATCGTTATTAATTTTAACACATTGCTGATCAGTTTTAATAACACTTAATTTAACACCAACACGTGTACTAAAGCAACTAACAATGTAGAATATGTTTCATTATTGATAAGCAATTTTTACTGAATTATTATGGGTATTAAAAACGGTTATGAGTTTAATAGATAAAATATAAAAAACAAATTCCTTTTCAATGCCTTGTCTGAACCGAAATTAAAAACGAGTAAGTTACATATTTAATAATATTTATAGCTATTGCTATATCAATTATTTTACAAACTATACAAAGACATAGATTAAAAGTAAACATATATGTTTATTTTGTACTCAACTTGAGTGTGGCAGCATAAAATGAACTCGAGTGAGTACCACTGTCAAAAGAAAAACACTTAGAGATCGAGAATTTAGAGATCGCGTAATAGATAGGTAATACGATAGAAATGAATTATATTTATTTTTCCATAAACTAATTTTAAAATAAACTATGAATTAAGAGTGAATAATTTAAGACTTATTTTGAGAGACATCTGAAAACGACAAATCTATAGCGCCAGCAATTTCTATCCGATTTACATAATAAAGTACATTACTATTAATACAGTTTTAATAAAATAAAAAAAATCCCGTCAAACTCAACAAAATATGATTCAAAACTCCGACTTTTACTGAACCAAAAACACAGCGGGAAAAAAAAGAAAGAAGGAAAAGAAATGATATTCAAGTACATGCAGGAGAAATTATGTTAGTTCCATACATGCTGAAAATTTTTTGAATAAATCTGATGAAAATCGGCGAATTATCGAACGCGCAAGTATGAAAAATAGTTTTTTGAGAAATTACCTCCTTCCATAACGCGTGAAAATAAATCTCCCAGCTTTTTTTTTTTTTTTTTTNTTTTTTTTGTAAATTATTGCTATTAAACACAGTTTTAATAGCAGAAAAGATAACAAAATATGATCCAAAACTCCAAGTTTGACATTTACTAAACCAAAAACGCAACAAAAGAAAAGAAAAAAGAACGAAAGAAGGAAAAAAAAGAAAGGAAAAGAAAATATATTCAAGAACATGCAACATAAATAATGTTAGTTCCATACATGCTAAAAAAATTTTTAAATAAATCGGATGAAAATCGGCGAAGTTATCGAGCGTGAAAGTATGAAAAATACTGTTTTAAAAAGTTGTATCTCCTTCTACACTATTTATATATTCATCTATGTGAAAATAAATCTCCTAGATCTTAATTGTTTAATGAGTTCCAACTTATGTATTTTAAAGAATATTTTTGAAATATAAATGTACCCCAATAAGACATAAGCATTATCGTGATAAACACACATTTTAAAAAAAAACTGATTCAGTTACTGAAGAAACAAACGAGTATTTTTGTTTATTTCGCTTAAATCGCTTAATCAAGTATATTTATATCTAAACCTGACATCCCATTCATCCTCAACAACACATCTTAAGAGAAGATATGTTTCCAGACATACATTCATTAAACATACTAACTTCTTTATCATGCATTCACAGTTTTAAAGCGAAAACAGAATGTTTTAAAACTTCAAAAACACTGGCTCAACTCCAGATACGTTGCACTCATAATAAGATTCCGAACATTGCCGCCGCTCAGACATTAAAAAAAAAGGCAATAAAAAATCGATACCTTTACTATTTATTTAATTCTGTAAAAGTAGTGTAAGCTCGAAAAGGCTTCTATGAGTGCAAATTGTAAATGGAATATGCGATTGCGTAGATAAAATTTTTTATTCCAGAATAGATCAATTTAATTTTTATAGTGTGAATTTGTTTTAATAATCATATCTTCGCCTTTTAATTACAGACCACATTAAAAATAACAGTAAATATAATTAGAAAAAAATATGTATACACATAATCAATTTGTAAAATAACAGAAATGCTTTCATGACAGTTTGTTCAAAAATAGATAAATTTAATTTTTGCAATGGGTATTTGAATTTTCTTACATTGAATTAGCCTAATGATTACCACATCAAGAATCACTGTAAATATAATTTGGAACTAGTAATAAACTGGAAATTCAACTAGTAATAAACATTTTCATGATAATTTATTTAAATATCGATTAATTCAATTCATGTATTTAAATCATTTATATTGGCTCATTATTAATTTATTTTATTGTTTTGAAAAATATTTATTTTTGCAGCTGTGGTACTCCGACTTAATTGAGTCGAATTTTAGCAAAGCTATTAATAGGATTAAATTTATTGAATAATTCATTACTATTGAATTTAACTGTTTACGAGAAATGTTAACCCCTATAAAGTCAACTTATAGCCCGAACAAAAAGGTGATTAACTTTATTAACAGTATTTTAATTCTGAAATGTAATTAAAACTATTTTTCTCTGCATCTATTCCTACCCATTGACTGACGACAACCGTAACTATAAATAATTGAAAAATAAAGCATAGCGTATTAAAGTGTCTCAGTTGTAAACTTACATTCAGATTTCTTCATGAAGTCCAGTCTTCAAAGATGCAATCGCTATGTGATGAGAATGGTAGCAGCATTGCTATTAATCATATAAGGCGTTTCCATTTTTCTAAAAAAAAAAAAATAATACTGTAATAAATGTTTANATATTGTTATAACAATATCAGACCAAAAAAAAAAAAAAAACTAGAAACCAGCTAAACACTTCTGTACAATAAACAAATACCATCATCAGTGTAGAGACACTGATGTTTCTTACATTTTAACACTAATAATCGTTCTTGGTTCGGTTTTAATATACCGAAACAGCTTGGTTGTTTTTAACCTTCGAGATTTACAATTACATTATTTTGCATTATTAACTATATTCTTCTTTTAGTTTAGAGAGATAAAGGCTATGTTATAATGCGTTCTTATTTTTATTTTATAATCGTTGATGAACAGACGACCCAATTTTTTGGGTTTACGACTACTAATGCTCGTGCTCAACTCCGAAGCCTTGTAATTTTGAACCCAATACAGAAGATAAGGAAACTGCTGGATCAAGAATTGGGAGAATATTGCCTTCGTGGAGGACTTTTTGATGGAACTAACCCGTATTTGCGTTGCATGGTGAGGAAAACCACGAAAACTTCCCACGGTTAGTCCGACGACAAGGGGACTCTAACCCATGATCCGTCTACCACTGAGAATTTTTTACGTCAGCACTGTGGTCAGAGCAAGCCGAATGCGGAATTCGTAACGACCAGCCATTGCTGATTTGAACCCGGTTTACCTGATTGGAAGGCGAACGCACTATTCCCTGAGCCATCAACGGGTGATTAAAGATTCCGAAAGGTCTTTTTTGGAATTTTGGCATAAATAGTAGGACCTCGACTATGAGAAGTAAATGTACCAGGCACATTTTTTTATTATAGATAATGGTAACATGGCTTTTTTTTATGAATTTTCATCAATAAACTCTGAAAATTGAGTAATTTTAGTACTTTACAGCGTATCACTTTTAAAGTGATCATTTAATGAATGCCTTTCTGCCAAACAGTAGGTATAAAATATTATATTACTAGGGAGCTAAGCTCCCTGTTCGCTACCGCTCACCAACCCCAAATATTGCTTCGCAATTATTGTCGTTTCTTGGAAGAACATAATACATGCACATATGTGCACTTAACATATATGACTAAAAGAAATTCTGTTTATTTACGCTTGTGCCTCTACTTCCCACGTCCAAATATTATTTTCTATTAGTATTATAAATATTTAGATCTACTGGTAAGCAGAAGTAATTTTTCAAAGTAATATTTTTTTAAAATAACAATTATATTGTTATAACAATATATAGTTATAACAATATACTGTTCAAACAAATTTGATGAGTTTACAACCGTAATTTAATATTTTCGCTTACCAAATTGGGGGATATATTAAATCGAAAATTGAATTAAAAGCGCAATAATAGCAGTACAGGAAAATAACTTAAAATTGCGGATACAAAAATATTTATGGAAAAACAATACCTTAACGACTGTTATTTGTTTTATGCCGATGGCAACCAAAATAATATGGAAATGATCCTCATGCGTCCTCAATTTTGCTTGGCTGTTTTGTGCGTTACTAACCCAAAGTTTTCTCTGATTGGTTACGTGTTATCATTTCACTCTCTTCTTATATTATATAAAGATATATCAAATAGCGACTCCTTTCTTTTTTTTTCTTTTTAATAAACCATATAAATCAAGCAGCAATTGAATTGTTAGCCGAGTTCAATGATTTTTTTTTTTTTTTTTTTTTTTTTTTTTTTTTTTTTTTTTTTTTTTTTTTTTTTTTTTTTTTTTTTTTTTTTTTTTTTTTTTTTTTTTTTTTTTTT